AATGATGACCAGATTGTAAACACAGATCTTGATGTCTTTCCAGGGATGGCAATAAGACATACCAAAGCAATTTCCTAAAGGAGGCACTTGCACACTGCATCCTATGCTGTATCTCCTCATCAGTGTTCACTTTGAGAGAGGTGACTACTGAGGTAGGGGAAGTGCTCAATTATCTCCAGGGTCCTTGGATCTTTCCCTCCATGGTAATTGGGGTGGAGGGATCACATTCATGGCCTGTTGAAAGAGAGGCCCAACATTTGGTAGGCTTCTCCAGAAAGATCCAGCATGGTCTGGAGGTTTTCCTCAGTGTGCACAAGGATAGTGCAGTTATCAGCAGATTGAAGGTCAAAGATAGTTGTTTTGAGTACTTTGTTTCTTGAGAGAAAATAAACCAAATTGAAGAGACCTCCATACATTTGGTATTCGGTTCCAGAAGAAAAGTGGTCCTTAATGAGAACCAGGATGACTGTCAGAAAAATGGAGAACAGAGTTGGGGTGATGACACATCCTTGCTTGCCCCCAGTTCAGGTGACAAATGGATTCATCTTGAATTTGCTTCATAGTCATCTGGTCATGGGGAAGACTCAGGATTTTGATGTGCTTTTCAGGGTATCCAAATACTAGCCCAGCAGGCAGGATCTGGTGCGGGAGGGAGCACTGCACTGCCATGCCTGCCAAATTGAGGTGCCCCATTCCCACCCAACAACAGCAGGGTGCACAACTCAGCGCTGCTGCCGCACTGTATCTTGTGGTAGGTGGGTCTCGTCTGATGGGGTGCAGAGGTGTCTTCTGCCCAAAGCTGGTTTGGCCCAACTGCAGCCCCATGCCCCACTGTGAGCATAGAAATCTGGGATGGGCATGTGCCCCCTTCCCTGCCCCCCCAATGCATCACCTGTACCCCTCCCCTTGCCTCAGCTTCTCTTATCTGGAGGGAGCTGAGGAAGCTACTCTCCACCACACTGCCTGGCTGCTGCATGCATGTGTATACGCGCACATGAATGTAGCACCCCTTGCCCCTTGTGTCCTGCTCCCCCCAGCCGCTTGCAGGCTAGAACTCTGCCAGCCTGTAAGGGGAGACTCATGGTTTCACACATTTTTCTCCTTCAAAGGAGAAAATCTGCATTTTTCCACAGCAAACTGAAAACCTGGATCCTGTTAATCATGATACTGGCATTCCTTAGGTCTCCAGGGATCTCTTCGTTGTTCCCAATTCAAATTTATGGAGTCTCAGTACCAGTTCCTTGCTGTGATCCTTGAAGATTTCAGCAGATATACCATCTGGTCCAGTAGCCTTGTTGTTTTTGGTTTCCTTAATGGCATGCCAAACTTATTCTAATATAAGAGGGTTGATGAGGAATCCCCTTTTGGGATATTAAGGGATAGAGTTGGTGGTGGTATCTGCCACAATTGATTCATAATTCAGTAGTGACTCAAAGTGCTCTTTCCAGCTAGCTTGGATAGACGTAGTGTCTTTGAGGAGCATGGAGCCATTCTGTAATCACACGGAAGTAGAACTATGGAAAATTGGGCCGTAGATGGCTTTTGTTGTCTGAAAAAAGCTATGCATGTCATATTTGTCTGCATAGAGCTGGATCTCCTTGTCTTTATCTTGCCACCACTGATTTTTGATTTCCCAGGTCCTCCTTTGAGCTTTGGCTTTGAAGAACTGACAGGTGTCCTTCTGCTGAGATGAAGTGTCATCTTGCCAAGCAGAATAAGTCCTCTCAGGGAAGACTTGGATCTTGGTGCCACTCTCATCGGACCAGTGTTGCTGTTGATGTGTGGTATAGCCAATGGATTCAGCACACCATCCTCAGTGCTATCGTCATTTGTAGACAGGGTATAGAGCTTTTCATGGTGACCCTGTCGGAGATCCTTATATAGACCTTCAATCTTGAAGAGATTTCGTGTTGAAAGTGCTTCTCATTGCTTTTGGCTGTTTTCAGTGTTTCGGAGCAACACTGATGTTCATAATCCATCTGACAAGATGGTGATCTGTCCATCAGTCATTGGTTCCTCTCACAGCTTGCGTGATCTGGACATCCATTTGATCACGGGAGGTACCAGTGCTTTGGCTGAGGGTGCCTCCAGGTAATCTTGTATTTGTCACTCTATCTGAAGATGATGTCCGTGATGACAAGACTATGCTCTGTGCATTTGCTTAAGAGAAGGATGCTGTTGGAATTGGTTTCCCTACTCCTTCCTTCCCAGTGATGCCATTTCAGTTTCAGGTCACCTCCAATCTGGTGTTGAAGTCACTGAGGAGAACGATCTTGTCTTCCTTGTGAGTATTAATTATAATGTGATCAAGACTGGAGTAGAACTGTTCTTTGGCATCATCGTCAGCAAGCATTGGGGCATATACACTGATGACAGTGACATGCTGGTTGTTGCTGAGCTTAAGACCACACTTTAACAAGGACATAGACAAACTTGAGAGTCCAAAGAAGAGCCACCCGTATGATCAGAGTCTTACACGGCAAGCCATACAAGGACATGCTGAGGGATCTGGGACTCTTCAGCCTGAAGAAAAGATGCTACCAGGTCACCTCAACAGCTTACTGCTACACTGGGAGAGTACATCAAGGACTTGGTGAGCAACTGTTCACCAGGGCACCTGATAGGAAAACTAGGAGTAATGGCCAAAAACTCCTGGAAGACTGATTCAGGCTCAACATTAGAAAAATCTTTTTCATGGTCAGGATGTCCAGACTGTGAAATAAGCTCCTTCCAGAGATGGAGCAATCACATACCCTGGAAATCTTCAAGAGGAGACTGGACAGTCGCCTTGCTGGGGTCACCTGACCCCCAGTGTTCTTTCCTGCTTGGTGCAGGGGACTGGACCCAATCATCTTCCAAGGTCCCTTCCGGCCTTACAATCTATGAATCTGTGAATCTAAGACAAAGGCTCACAAGACGTTTGCTAATGTCTACAGGGAGCTCTGTAAGTTGACTGACAAGCTGATTCTTGATGGTGAAGCCAACGCTGTAAACATGCCTGTCCTGGGCCAGTTTCCTCTTTCAGAAGAAGGTGTAGCCTCCACCCTCTTCCCTCAGCTGACCCTTATCCAGTCATCTTGTCTCACTCAGAACTGTAATGTCAGTGTAACTCAGTAGTTCCCTAGAGACAATGGCAGTTCTTTTGGTTATTCGTTGCCTTGGTTATCTATCAAGGTTTGAATGTTCCATATTGTGAAATCATTTTCTTCTTATAATGTTTTCAGCCTCAGAGGTTTGATCCTGCTGAACACAGTTACTAGCCAGATAAGACCACCTAGGTGTAGGGCACCTTTTCTAGCCCCTTCCCCATGTAGGGCAAGCAGAGGGGATCCTGAATAGGACAGCTCAGTCATGGTAGCAGCTGCCAAATTGCACCCCTGTCTCAACCCAGGTGCAAGATGGTCATCAGGCTACCACCACTGCATGTAGATTCATGGCTGGACTACTCCTGTCTCCATCAGTACTGGTCCATCACCACAGGGCTTTTGGAGGTTGGTACAGATGAGCATGTTGCTTCCTGTGGTAGAAGCCTACAGATGACTTTATTTAACATGAGGAAGTTGGTGCATGGAAACAGCAACCACGTGATCTTCATATGGTGGAGATCTTGAACCAGTGGCAAGAGAGAACCCTAGACAACAGGAGACCTCCATCTGACTGCAGTCTTCTCCCATCTTTACAGCTGTTGAGATTTTGACATCATCTTCCACCTGATCTACCACTGAGGACTTGGAATTGGACTGTGGTTTGTCTGGAACCTCCGCTCTGGCCTGTTTGTCATGGGTGACCTTGTCAGGAGTGTGAGACTGTGGATAACATAGCTCTGAGGATTGTTAGGATACACAGGCCTCTCCACCACTAGAAGGTCTGAATCCATAGAGAGGTAGGGTACATACACACTGAGAATTTAAGTGTCATACTGGGTCAGACCATTCATCCATCTAGCCCAATATTTTGTCTCTGATAGTTTGAGGGCCAGTTGGTGCTGGCCAGTATACTCTGTTCTTTGTGCCCCTTTGGAGCACACATTATTAACTTTTGACCCACACCCCCCCTCCCATTTTTTATGATAAAGTCACTTGCTACATACTTAATGTCCCTCCTCCAGAAACAGGGAGGGCCTTGTAGTTTCTGAGCGGCTGTAGCCCACAGGCAAAATCTGTTGTGTAAAAGAGTACATGGCAAGCTTTTAAAGGGTACATAAGGGACTGAAAAACAGAAGAAACAAAATCAAAGAAATAAGAATGCATTCTGCGATCTTACAGGTTACAGTGTGGCTATAGTGACAAAAAGTATTGAGTTTTTTTAACCATAACATGGAATTATAAGTGAACAAAGTAGTGAAACACGTAAAAGTGGGTACATGACCCCCAAAAGATTGAGAACCACTGATATCAACTTTATTAAGCTCTCAGTGCAAGCTCAGTATAGTAGAAGCATATATAACTTCTGTGCAATCCATAAGCTGAGCTGTGCACTTGCTTGAATATATCAGCATGGTAAAAAACAGACTGTTAGTCGTAAGTCAAACATTAAGGGCACAAAAAGTCATGGTTTGTAGGCTATCTAAAAAGTACTACAATGCCGTTCATTCTCTGTATCAAAATGAGTGACAGCTCTCTAAAAGGCAGCACTATGGACAAGGATCTCAGAATCTTAGTGGATCACAGACTCGGTATTTTAGTCTGCAGTGTGACACAGCTGCACAAAAGGCAAATGGGGAGTTGTGCTGCATTAATAGGAACATTAGGTAAGATATGAGAGGTGACAGCACCTCCTTATTTAGCACTACTTAGGCTTCATTTACAGTATTGTTTGCCATTTTGGGCTTCACATTTTGTTTTGTATAAATACGATCCTGCCTCAAGAAGGGGATAGGTGACTTTTGAAGGTCCCTTCCAGGCCTATTTTTTATGATTCTACCATCTTACAATTTGTGTATGTGTATGTATGTACTCATGTATGTCCTTTAAAAATCTATTTTTTCTTTATTCTTTTAGGCTTACTGGTAGCTTACTGCCATAGATTTGATATCCAGGTGCAATCCTCCAGAGTCTATTTTGTAGCCTGTACTATAGGTATGTATGATGCTGGTGTTTCTACAAAAGTAAAGCCAGAGTGTCTGTATTAATGTAGCTTGCTTTACACCTGCTTACCTCACTCTCAAAATCAAGCATTGAAACAGTTTTAAAAAAAATAAAAACTCTCCACCAGTTTTGAGGCTGGACCACTCAGTCCCAATTTAACTGCTGTGTTACCATTCTGAGCACCTTTGTTTGTCCCAGGTAGAATTATGCTCTTGGCTGTTGTTTTATGCCCTTGCCAGAATTCCCAGGTTGTTTTGCAGGTGATTCATGAATGTTTGGGATACATATGGAGGCTTTAGTCTTTTTATCACTATCACTAAGGTTTCTTTATTAGACAGATTTTGGACAGCTCTGAGTTGATTAAGTTGAGTGGCCAGATCCAAATCGGTTTTGTACAAGGGTCCACTTGGGATCTTGGATTACCTAAAAATTAGGCACCTTGCCTGAGGAGCAAAATCCAAAGGGACAGTCAGTAGTGAAAGTAGTTGTCTTCAAAGGGTGATCCAGATCATCTAGTCCAAAGGTATCAAACATTTTGGCCCACGGGCCAGATCTGGTCCATAGAATTGTGGCATCTGTCCTAGAGGGTCCAGGAGTTGTGGAGTGGGGCAAGATGGTCAACCAAAAGCCAGAGTACAGAGGTCTGTTGGGGACATGTGTCATCACTCCTGCAGTTCTTTGCCTGCTGCGGGCTCTACCCCTGCCGATCCTGCTTCCAATTCCAGGTCTGGCCTCCAAGGAGACCCACAGTCCCCACCCCACCCAAGGGGCTGAGTTTGACATCTCTAACTAAGGCAATAAGCAGGGGGTGCCTGTAGCAAGGAAGTGCTGAACACAGAGGTGTGTCTCAATTCTGCTTCCTGTAGTCACCTCTGATTTCCTAGAGGAGAAGCATTGAACTCATTGGGAGCAGCATTCAGTTCAGACCTAATCACATATCTAGGTCTCTTCCACTTCCAGGGGAGTGCCCTTATCACTGAATTAGAGAGTTGGGTTTGTTCTTTCTTGTTCTCCTGGCTCCATGTATCTTATGCTCTTGGATCTCTAGTGGCCCAGTTTCAACAAAAAGAGGGTGCCTTCACTCAAGAGCCTTGGTGATCTGGGCACTTTTCTGAGAATGGGAGATACTGATGTGAAGCCATCAGGCTCTTGGATAGCCTAGAACCCTGGCCTCCCCCTTCCTGGGCAGGTTATCTAACTGCTAACCTATTGTATAAAAGTTGAGCTGTTCTACCACCACCAGCCGTGTCTGAGAGTAACTGAGGAAGGCTGCCGAGGTTTAGGGCACCTTTTCTTCTCCCTTTCCCATGTGGTGTGAGTAGAGGGGATCCTGAATAAGACTGTTCAGTCACAGTAGCAGCAGCCAAATTGCACCCATGTCTCAACCCAAATGCAAGGCAACCATCAGGCTACAACCACTTGCATGTAGATTCATGGCTGGACTAGTTCTTTCTCCATCACGACTGGTCCATCACTGCAGGGCTTTTGGAGGTTGTACAGGAGAGCATGTTGCTTCCTGTAGTAAAAGTCTGAACTCAGTCGAGCCTTTAGGGGTGCTCTGTGGACACCGAATGGCTTGAAACTTCAGTAGAGTTTAGGTGTCCCTCAACACCAATCTGGATATTGGCAGAGCTTAAAGCAGGTGTGGGCAAAATACAGCCCACAGGCTGGATCCAGGCCATGCCTGCCCTCATGGTGCTCCACATGGGACCAAGCAGTACCCACTCCCACCATGGCAGCCCGCACCATGCTCCCGCTGATCCAGGCCCCAGCCAGCATGCAGCTTCTGGCAGGGCTGTTCCCAGTGTGGCTGAAGCTAGATGCTGCTCTGCTCCCCTCGCCTCCACAAGGAGCAGCCCAGCTGAAGCTTCCTCCCCACCCAAAGCAGTGCAGCAGAGGCAGGAGGAGGAGCCGCCACTGGAGGTGAGGTGAGCGGAGCAGCACCTGGCCAGTTGCAGCCACGCTGAGAACAGCCCCACCAGAAGCTGCACACTGGCTGGGGCCTGGACTGGCAGGGCTGTTCTGTTCTCTTCACCTCCAGCTCCAACTGCTGCACTGCTCGGGGAGGGGAGGAGCTTTAGCCAGGTAGCTCCTGCCCAGTGTGTGGAGCCCTGGCTCCAGGTACCAGTTGCCTTCTACCCACTCTACCTGCCCAATACAATGAGCAGCCTGTGGCAGAAAGCCACCTTGGTTTCTCCCCAGAAATCTCTGCCCTGTAATCGTGTTTAAAATCTCTGCCCTGTGACACTGTGATTTAAATCTCTGTGCTGTGACCATTCAGTTAGGATGGGCCCAGCACACAGGGGACCACACCCTCAGCCTGTCTCTTTAGGGAACTTGCTGAGGGAGGGGGGAAACCTGCTCCCTCTGCTTACGTGACTGGTACCTGGGTGAGGGGCATCTACCTGGGGAGCTGGAATCTGCCCGGTAACAGGTGATGCATTTCAGATTGGTTGGCTGACAGCCAACTGGGGCTGACCTCCGCTGGCCCAGGTGAATGAGGTCACAGGGGCTATATAAGTTAGGATGGGGAAGGAGGCGGTCCCTCCTCTCCGGCCATGAGGTGACGCAGCAGCCAGGCAGGGGACAGAGAAGCCTTAACATCTGAAACTGGCTCTCTCCCCCCAAACTCACGAGCTAGGAACCGCCTGCCTCCAAAGGGAAACTTCACCTGCCTTTGGAAGATGCTTGTGAGTAAGCTACTCAATCTGATTAGATATTTAGCTGGAAGTATCACAGATGCGTAATCAAAAGGCTACCACAGCCAGACTGTTTGCTCTTTAGGATTTCTAGATATTGCTCTATCCTGTACCCTAGTTTACCCTACCCCCTGTAATCAATAAAGTTCTCCTTTTTGACTGGTGTGGGAGACTTATTGAGGGGTGGGTCTAAATTATGCCTAAGAGACCCCTTAGGTCTGTGGACTAAGGGAGACTATACCTTTTTGCCCCCGGACTTGGGGAAGTACCCCAAGTGCCTGTACTGGGTTGAGTACCCGTGGGACTTTAGGCCTGTGTTACCCCAAGGACACAGGGCCGCGAGACAGTCCATTCTTGGGGTGGTGGCGGCATGTTACCCCCAGACTAGCGAGTGTGCTCCGGGAGAGGGGTTGGCCGGACATAAGGTGCCCCTAGGGAGGCATTCGGAGCCTGGAAGGTGGTTGGGCACAGGGAGGTGGGTGGCTCAATGCAGGAGCACCCCCTACTGGCCCACCTCACGTGGTGGAAACAGCGGAGGGATACAAATACCCAGCTGTGTTCCTGAGGTGGGATCTCTGCACCCGCCACACAGCCACCTGGGAGCTGGAGCTCCACACGCTGGGCAGGAGCCACCTGAATAAAGCTTCCCCACAGGGCAGGAGCAGGAGAAGCAGCTGCAGCTGGAGGCAAAGGGAGCAGAACAGCTCCACCGGCCTGGGCCTGGGCGCAGGCCCTGGCTGGTGAGCACAGCTTCCAGTAGGGCTGTTCCTGGTGTGGCTCCAGCAAGCTGGGTGCTGCACTGCTCCCTTCACTTCCTGGTGACATTGCAAGTCTGGCTGGCTGCAGCCACACTGGGAACAGCCACACCATAAGCTGTGTGGTGGCTGGGGCCTGGGACTGGGGCCAGGGCCGGTGGCTTTAGGCAGGATAACAATACTGGTTGCCCCATGCAGAGCATAAAAGGGGTAGCAGCCAATTGGATGAGCTCTGCTCCATTCACCCCCTGCCTTCCCCCTCCCTCCCCTCACCCTGGCTGGCTTCCAGGCAGCCCCCCCATATGCATATGCCCCTTTCACCTCCCTCTCCCCACAGGGCAGGGTGTGCGGGGAGCGGATTATGCCTGTCCCACTCCCAAGCATTGCTCCCCAACCACGCAAAGCCCCATAGGGAGTTTGATGAGTTGTTGCCAAGGGAGGTGGGTGTGGTGCTGACCCAATCTATAACAGTTCGTCAAAACTCCCTGTGTGGCCTTTGGGCCCAGCTGCTTGTCTATCCCTGACCTAAAGTAATGCTTCTCAACCTTTTTAGAATCAAGACAGCCCTTGGTAGACTCCAGACACCCCTTGGAAAATGCCAGCTCTTAGCTTTCACTTCTTTTTTTTAACTATGGGAAAATAACAGAGCTATTCTTCTGTTGCGAAGAACTCAGAAAAATCACAAAAGTTCAGATTGTTTTTAACACTATAGGTTCCTATTTTAAATCAACTGGTATGTCTTGTGAATCGTGTGTAGGTGTTTGCACACCTAACTGCTAATTTTGTGCAGCACCCTGATTGGTATCACTGGTTTAGAGCAGTGCTTCTTAACCTTTTTTTTAGACTCAAGGTATCTCTCAGAAAATACCAGATCTTAGCTTTCACTCTTTTTTACTTTGGAAAAATAGTAGTGACTTTTTTCTGTTGCAAAGAACTCATAAAATCACAACAGGTCACAGTGTTTTTAAAATTATGGATCCCTATTTGAAATCTCTGGGTTTATCTTGCAAATTATGTTTGCATGCCACTGTGCTAACTGTTAGGTGTTAACAGTGTTAGCATTGTATGGCACCTCACGCTACCCTTGAAAGCCTTTCAAGATACCCCAAGGTGCTACTGGTTTGAAAATTACTGGCTTAAAAGATAGTTTAGTGACCTAAGTCGCTTCTGACCATGTACACAATCTTAAGCCAAAACACATAGGGAATTTTTCAGACTAAAATGGGGTATTTAATGATTCTGGTCTTCTAAGTGGTTTTGTGGCCACTGCAGTAAGGTTGATATGGATTGTTTTTCATGGTTTAGGAGACTAAATTCCATGCAAGACATGTTTAGGCACCAGCAAGGACAGTTTGGATCTGTCCATAAGCACATTAACTTGGAACTTCCTTCATTTATGGTCTGCTATTAACAGAAGAAAACATTTCTTCAAGTTTGAGATAAACAACCAGTACAATTACAAAATGACAGGCAGAAACATCAGAGGGCTTCAATTTCAGAAAAGGCTGTTGGTAATTTTACTACCTCCTAACTGTTTGGCTGTATTCAGTGTATTTCACTTAACTGTGTTTTAAATATATGGAATTTGTAGAATTTATAGACTCACGTTATGACTGCAACGTATGTTCATATTTCTTAAATGTGTAAACCCCTTAAAGTCCATACTTAAGATAGAAAAGTTTGAATAGACTAGCAATTGAAGGCACCAAAAGAGCTTTAAGAAAAACAACTGCCAGAATTGTAAGAATTACAGGTTCCACTGAGTCTTCAGTGGTAATTAATGGTACTTTACATTCCTGTTATATTTCCATTCAGAAACTTGGATTATTAAACATAACTCTAATTTTGAATTCCTTGATTAAAACCGCAGCATTCTACTCTTAAATCAGCTGTGTAAAATTGCCACAAAAATGTAGTAGTCTAGGTACAAAAATTACTTTCATACTCTTTGTCATATTAATGAAATAAAGTAGATATTACTTCCATTACTTACCTTGCTTTGGTAGAAGTTTACTTAGCTGACTTAATGGTTCAGTAAATGCTATAAAATATTTCTATATAATATTAACTCCAAGTAATGGGAATTTTTGTTGAGGAATTAGATTTATCAGCCTATACCTGGCATACTTGCAGGAACTTGCCCTGAAAGCTTTTGGAGTTTTTTTACATTCAGTTTAATATTTTCTGCAGTATACTATACCATAAGTAGAAATAAATGATTTAATGAGTTGTAACACATAGCTAGATATTTGTTTAATGGTGTTTCACTAAATAAGCAAAACCTATAACCAAGAATTTCCAAGTTACAAGTAGTGTGCCAGTTGTAGTAGTCAGACAGTAATGTTATCTGTATTTTGTTTTCATTTAATTAAAAAATAGTGTTTTAAATGCCAGTGTTGTGATTATTTTAGCACTGAAGTGATGCATAGAATTTTTTTCAGTTCATTTCACTTGTATTATTCCAATTATTGAATTCATTACACCACATATACTAAACAGTAAAAGGAGTTTTATGATATTACTTGACATAAATTAATATTAGATGATTTTTCAAGATGACAATATGGCCATTATTAAGCAAAACTGTCTGAATAACTTCATTTTGCATTTTTATCTCCTTTTAGCGTATGGCATTGGCCTTCTGGTGACTTTTGTAGCCTTGGCATTGATGCAGATGGGTCAGCCAGCTCTCCTCTACTTGGTACCCTGTACTCTTATCACTAGCTTTGCTGTTGCTCTTTGGCGAAAGGAGCTTACAATGTTCTGGACAGGCAGCGGCTTTGCGGTGAATACCAGTTTGATATGACTGTCTTCAAGAATAATAATGCTATAAACCTAACTAGAATTAAAGTTGAGTAAAATATTGTAGTACTACCCAACAAAACAAAGATCTTTATATTTGAAGTTCCCTTTTTGATCCTAAGTATTATTTTATTTGCTTTAGTAATTGTTGGACATGATCTTGTGATTGTTACTTTAATGTTTGTGGGCAGCAGAACTGACCAGTGTGAAGGAGATAAGTGCCTTCCTAAGCAACCTGATCATTACATAATTTGTAGAGATGATGATGTACATTTTCATTCATAGTTGTTTAATGTAACTTCAGATAGTAACTCCCTTAAACTTAGTCATATTTGTAGATCTTCCTTTCATAACCTAGATCATGTGGGGGTGAGGTGAGAAGCTAGCGTAGCATCTCAAACCATCATCTACGACTGGTCTGTTTTTACTTTTTGCTGTAAATTAAAATGCATCTAGTTTGAGGCAGTCAGTATTGTTTGCTGAAAGAAGAAGACAGTACCCCAAATAAGGGACAGTTCACTGAATAGGTGTTTAATAAAAGGGAGAAAAATTGTTGGTGACTCTGTAGTAAAGACAGTATATGTCCTATTCTGACGTCAGGCAACTTCTTTCAGGAACTGTGAAATATCTTCATATATCATTTCAATCAAAACACTTGTGTGTTATTTTGGAACTGTAAAATGTTTATTCATAATGTGCTGCAATACCAAGTATAATTTGTTGTGCATTCAACACAAAATACTGTCCAGTGAAATTAGGGTTTGGTGAGATCAACAGAGTTTGAAAGGTCACACAAATACAGACATTTTCAAAGCTGTTCTTTTGCTCAAAGTGAGTTAAGTTAGTTGTTCATTACTTTTGATAAGCTTTGGTCTTGTCTATAGTTGATGGGGTTTCCAATATTGTTATGATGGTGAGCTCTCTAAGGGGAAATCCCTTAGTTTATGCAGGCCAACAAAGATTTTGCTAGTATATAATACTAGTTTTCTGAAGCTAGTCTGGGTCTTTGCTGGTTTACTTACATTGTTTTGGTTTATGATTTTTTTTCCATATTTCATACCTCTATAGCTATCCAAGCAAAACTTGTTAAGCATAAACTGGGCCTCAATTTGAAGATTAAGTCACTGAAGAGGGTCCTCCAGTTGGAGAAATATATTAATATCACTGCTGAGCCAGAAGCCACCGTTTAAAAAAAACATTCTTGTGCTTCAGTATATCACCATACAAAGTTTCTACAGAAGTATATAGTGTGGTGTACACTAAGTCCTCCTGGGAATGCAGAGTGTCTAAGAAGTTTGGCACCCCAAAAAACAGTCTGGGTAGGGCCAGTGGAAACTTCCTGCTATGGTAGAATAGTAACAAAGCTAGGTCCCAGACCACTGCAAGAACAGTACTAAGACTCATACTTCTTTACTATAAATAATAATTCTTTATATAAGTTCCTGCACATTATAAAGGGTTGTTTGCACTCTATAAGTCTCATTGAGATGCTACATGTAGTTTTAAAATATGGTCATTTTATTCTGTAGGCAGTTCACAGTGTAAAAATAGACCCTGGCCTATAGTAACAGCTTGAATTTGACTTGATAATGAATATAACTTGACCTGAAGCTTGCAGAAACTTGTCTAGGTAAAATAAAAAAATCAAATACTATATTTACTCAAATATACAATGAGGTATTTCCCCACAAGCAGCATGAGGGAATAAAGCTCCTCATCTTATATTTTCACACACAGTGAACCAGGGAGCAGGCAGCTGCTGTGGCTCTGACTCTCGTCCTAAGCCCAGGTTGGGGCCAGTGTCAGACCCACAGCAGCCTCCTTTCTTTACTCCTATTTCCCCTCTGCAGTCTGTTCCACTAGTGGTCCAGTAACAAGTCATTGACCATTTCTGTATTTTAGATCTTCAAATCTATAATGAGAATAAAAACTCATAATAGAGATTTTTAAGTTCAGTTACTATTAAACTACTTTGAGATCCTCCAAAAAGTATCAGTCATTATTTATCATTAATGAACAATGAAATTTATCACTATGAAGAAAGAAATGGCAAAACTCCAAAACATTTTTCCACCTAAGAAGGAAGCAACACATGGACAAAAACAGTAGTTATATGAATCATAGAGAAGTAGGGCTAGAATGGACCTCTGCAGGTCACCTAGTCCAACCCTTCTACCTGAGGCAGGATCATCCCTATCCAATCCAATCTTATACAAACCCATTGTCTTCCCTATTAACAAAACTACACAGTCAACCTTGACACAAGCACAAGACATAATACCCTAATCTGTCACAGGTAAAGCAGGGAGACCGTGGTGGCCAATATCTTGCTGGTTCAAAAGTTGTTAAAATACTCTTGAGAGATGCAAGAAAGAGAGCCAAGTCTCCTGCTACAGAGGATGGCAGCCCCCTCTCCCCAGTCTATACCAGTCTAACCATGGGGTAAAATTATTTCTTGACCCTGAAAATGGCACTCGATCTGAGCCTAAGCATAGATACAAGACCTTCTAGCCAGGTTTAAGTCCCAGCAGAAGTGTTGGTACACCCTCCTCAAAATCCCCAGCTCCGGCTGCAGCCAACACACACTACTTCTGAAGAAGGCTTAAAAAAAGACATCAGGAATCTCTGGGGTTTGGGGTTGGGGTTGGGACAGACGGGCCGAGCCAGGCTGGACTGCCACCCACAATTGCCACCCCACTTTGCCATGCTGGCCCGTGTCAGCACCCTCCTTCCCACAATGCACATCAGCACTTCTCCCTCCCTCCCTCCGTCCCCCCCTCACTGGATCAGCACCCATACTTAAGTGGCCATCCAGCCCAAATAATTGCCCACCCCTGGTCAAGAGCCTACTGAATTGTGCTCCCATCCTCCAGTGCATTCCTGGTCCTTCCTAGTTTTATGGCATTTGCAAATTTGCTCAAGAAGCTTTCTGTGCCAGCATCCAAATCATTAATAAACACATTGAACAGTACCAGGCCCAGGTCAGACGCCTGTGGGACTCCACTCAAAACATGCCTTTCCAGTAGGAATCCATTTATAATTACCCTTTGCTTGCAGCTACTGAGTCAGCCATTTATCCATCCCATAGTAGTTTAGTTTAGGCCATATTTCTCCAAAGATTGAGATCAAGTTTGACACAATTTGTTCTTAGTAAATCCGTGATGGCTGCTTGTGATCAGCCTTTCCTTGTCCAGATGCTTGCAAGGGAACTTCCTTAGGAGATGCTGCAGTAACTTCCCAGGTATTGAGGTGAGGCAAACCAGTGTGTTGTTCCCCAGGTCCTGCCTTCTTTAAAGAGGGACACTACAATGGCCCTTTTCCAGTCCTCTGGTACCTCGCCCATCTCCCATGACTTTGAAAATATTATTGCCAATGGCTCCAAGATCATCTCTACCAGTTTCTTCGGTACCTGGTTTGAAGTTTATCAGGCCCTGCTGATTTGAATTCATTCAGACCCATCAAAAGCTCTCTGACTGTCTAATATTAAATTGTACTGGTAATTAGGTGTTCTGATTTAACTGTTACATCTGTCTCTGCAAAACTGTTTCAACTTCCATGCTGTTTCATTCAGGATTAAAGTTTGCAGTTTGGCTTGCAGGTTTAGGAGCGTGCACACTTAGCAACTTCATTACAACTGTTGATGCATGCTCATGAGTGCCAATTCTCTATTCCTTTTTAAAAGTTAAATGTATGCCTGTCACTTCCCAAATCAGTTAGAAATAATGAACCCTTTAAGCTTTAAGTTTTAAGACTTTAAGCATTTTATGAGCCTGCTGTGGACATTTCGTTTTGTTTTTGTGAATCAGTGGGAGCTATCCCAAAAGTAAATCTTTTGGGGTTTGAAGTTACTGCAATTGTAGCCCTCTTGTTAGCCTTTAGCTAACGTTATTTTTAACTCTACCACCCAGTTATCATGTAATTAATATTGGACACTCAAGCAGTAGACAGATGAAACAATTTTACTACTTTAAAGAGGTGAGAAAGACATAGCACTTGTGAGGGCATCAAATGATCCATTTTATGTTTTGTGCATCCATTTGCATCCTGCATAAGTGAACTTAAATCAGGGCACCTTATTCCAGAATTAAACCACTCTTAAATTACTGCCGTTGGATATCCATTACCTGTATCATAGAGTGGACACATGGACCAATCACTTTAAAACTCAGTGCATTTCCCCTATGTTTTCAGTCAGTATAATTGTTTGGTCAGTCTGCACCCTCAGTATGATGGCTGGTTTCCTGTAGAAACTGGCATGTTTTGATCAGTCACTGCTAATGTTGCCCTTAGTAGAAGTAGTAGCTCTTTCTTCTCACTTCCCATCATTCTAAAAAAAACCAATTTTCTTTTACAGAAAGACCTACCTCATCCTCCTTTGGTGCTGGCTCCCGTCAGCTGTCCTGAACCCCCCAAAGATGTAAATGCACCAGCATCTCAACAAGAAGCAGAACAAATGACCAACCCCACACTTCATGCAAAGGACCAAAGTAATGCTACCCTGAGTGTAGAGGAGGCCCAGAACCCCTCCCCAAATACTGGGGAGCTGACTGGTCCCAGCACACAACTAGAACAACCAAAAAACTCCAGCTCACATATAGAAGAATCAGCTAATCAAAACAAGGACAACTGTGAAAGCAGAAGTGTCAAAGTAGAAAAGAACCAGTTGGACTAGAGGATGTAATAGGAAACACTCTTTCCCCTCCCCCAATTTTTCTGCATAAAACCAGTAAGTAATTAGACTGGTTCTGTAGTGGTCATACTCACTGAAGAACCTCACTGGGAATCTGATCATCAAATTCAAGAATACGCTGCCTCCAACTTCAGATACAGCTGTGCACTTCAAACACCTTTCTGAAATATGGTGCTTTACCAAGGTTCTGATGTATGAATTTTAGTGATCATTTTATTAGTGGATGCCTTTTACCTGTTCCTATTTCATTATACCAGGATAACAGTAAGAACTTTTATGTATATGGCACTCTGCGCTTGTGTGGCTGTGGTGCTGCTTTAACATAGTGTAGATTAATATGGAAGAAAAGCATTGGACAAATCTGCTACAATGCAATGCTGAGAGGAAATAGAGTAGTTTTAGCACTTTCCCTTCTGAGACTATTTTCTACTTGTAAAAGCCATTGATGCAAGTGAATGGTTTAGTATAAATTTATGCTCCAGCAATGCTAAGAACTGACTAAATTATGAGCCTTCTGAAAGGATTTATATTACCATGGTCATTAAATTCATCTCTTAACTTTTTGTTTGTTTGTTTTACTCCTAGGTATTGGGTTGGATTATAGTCTAGCTCAGTGGTGCTCACATTTTTGACCCCATGGACCAGATGAATGGCATGGAACCAGTCCATGGACCGGGTTGGGTCTGCACCGCCTCCATGCACTGGGACCAGGCTCTGGGGCCCACGCCACTCCGACCAGGCTGGAGCCCTATCCCAGTGTACAGGGGGCAGCACAGAGCCTGATCCAGCCTGTGGGCCATCCAGCCGATACTGGGCTCTGTGCTACTATAGCCCAGCCCTGCATACACCAGTGTCAGGCCCTGTACCACACTGGACACCCAATCTAACGCACAGGGCTCCCCACAGGATCCAGTTGGGAGCCCCGCAGGCTGAATTACAAAGTGCTGGTACTGGATCCGGCCCATGGCCTGGGGATTGAGCACCCTTGATCTAGATTAAAAGGCAGGATGAATGGATCTGCCAGAAGCATCATAAACATTCCTATGAATTCTGTGGCTGTCTTTGAAAAAGTATTGATTGATTTGACTTTCCAGAGTCTGACACAATAGATACGCTCATTATGTATGCTGGTTTAAAAAGAGAGCCCCCTATTTGTCACACAGATCAGGAAATAGCATTAATTAGTGGTTACAGAATTGTCTCTTGGGAAATTTTAAAGACAAACTGATATGAGAAATTCAGCTGTTTTCTTTGAGCCTCTACTTACACTTGTTATGAATATAGGTTTGATTTCTAATGTTAAAGAAAATAGTTTGATGTTCTCTTTTTCAAAGGAGCATGTGTGGTTTAACAGTTAGTTTGTTTGTATATATTGCTTGGATTTAAGAACCAGTTACAATTTTGTAACTGGTCATCCAGCTCAAGCCATATTTTGTCTTTATCCCAGGTATGACACAAGTGTGATCTGCAAGGTTCTAAAATGAGGCAGTGACCATCTTGACTTGTCCTTGTGCTGGAGAGTGAAGGTCCTACCTTGCAATGTCAGGGTTGCATCTCCAGAATGAAGATGAGGGAAACTACAGTCTGTTCAGTTTTAACATAATTAGGCACAGTTGTTCTTAGCAAGCTGCCAGTATAGCTTGAAATATCCCAAAGGTGGACATTTCTTAATTTCTGATTAATTTCCTTAGATATTAATAGTGCATGTGTAGAGGGACAGTTTAGTCAAATTAACATTAGTTTATATAAAATCAATTTTGTTTGAGAGAGTACTGAATCAAGGCAATTTAATTTATTTTAAGACATTAAATTCTGTTTTGAACTTTATACATTCCAGTCCATTAAAAACAATATCCTGAAAATAAAATGTGATTCGCTAACTCAAGTGGCAAAGGCATCCCTCTGCCACTCATAAATACTACCCTTCTGAGCAAAGGTATCTTGCACAGCAGTGTGGCACTTTGAAGAGTATAATCTCAGTATTAATATACAGAGAAATGCATTTACATTAAGAAGCTTCCACTGGTTTGTTGGGTCAAATTCTGAAAGACTTTCCTTCAGTATCTGTGGACACAGATCCCATGTCAACTCTGACTGAGCTTTCTAAAAGTTTGCATCGTATCTTTTGTACTGTAAATTTGTTTGCTTTCTCTCTCTCACTTCATGTTAGGTGGACACTATTTTTTTGCAGGATAATGAAAGCCTATTATTAAAATTACATTTTGGGGTCAGCGGTTTACCAGTTTCTGCATATGCCTGGGGGTCCTTAACCTGGGCCTTATCTACCAAGTTGAGTGAACTCCGGGTAAAATGATAGTGAGTTTCTTTAAAAGTTTCCTGTATTCTGGAGCCTGTGATATATTTAGTCTGCTTTTCAAATGAACCAAATGCAACATAATGAATAATTTTCCCATATTATTTTCCCTTCTCCTGTTTGGTCTATGTTACAATTTGTGGCACTTCATCACTGGGAATTACCTGTACTGTCACCTTTTAGAGAACTTTAAAGGCACTTGGAGCACTGCAAATGTGTTGTCTGTCCATACCCTGAGACTAATCTGAACCAGACTTTAGGTACGCAGAACATTAGAGAAGCTTCTGTTGGACACTTCAACCAGTTCTATTATGCCTTAATGTAAGCCATTTTATAAATATATTATAAATTATAAATATGTTAAACATTTATAGAAGAAAAACTATCTTTAAATAAACTTGACAAATGCCAGCGAAATGGGAGTTGAGCTTAGTGTGTCATGAAATCTGAATTTCCTCTTGGTTTGATTTTTTTTTCAGCCATGTTAACTATTATTTTTATATATTAATTATTTGGCCAGAGTTTGGGCAGTAAAGTTTTATCTATCTCCTTGAAACTTAAATTTTAAAATTTGTTCTTATTTCTACTAGGAAATTACAGAAATTGGTACATTAGAAGAAAAAAAACCTATTTCTTTCCTATGTTGTTCATAATACAAATGAAATAAAAGAATTCATAACATTAGAGCTCATTTGTAATAGACATTATCAAGTCATATTTATTGTGTAGTCTTGGCTAACCTGCTTAGAAAAGATAATTTTACCCTTGCTTTTGAGAATTATTGCCTCAACTGTGTGCGCACTCCATCTCCTATAAAGACTGAAGTGAGAACATCTGATGCTTTTAGCATACTAAAATACAATATTTCTGGTTCTAGAATGTGAACTGGAGTTATGAGTCCCAGTCATTGATGATTATAATATTGTATAAATCAAATTGCTCTAATACATTGGTTTTCAACCTTTTTTTCATTTGCGGACCCCTAAAAAATTTTGACTAGATATGCTGAACCCTTTGGAAATTTTGAATGGAGGTGCAGACCCGTTTGAGTTGTAAGTGTGGGTAGTCACATACTTTTGATTGATCATAATCATCTTTCCCTTAGATATAATGTGAGGACCCCCAGGGGTCCACAGACCACAGGTTGAAAACCATTTCTCTAATATATCTGTTTGGCCTCTGAACCCATGTAGTGCTGTAACAATCTTTTCCATTAGAGCCAAGGCTGCATTTTCTATTTTATTTCTTAAACAAAAAAACTCCTTGATGGGTTTGTCCCTTAAAATTCACTATTGGAAAGAGGTAAGAGTCTCAAAAGTATGATTTCTTATATAACAGCAATGTTGTCAGTCTAACAGCTAACTATTATTGAAAGGTACCTTTTAGGAGTTGCATTAAGGTGAGTGATTAAGGAAGGGTGGTTAATGCCTGAAAGCTTGTTTAACCTCTCTCCCATCTGGTCCAGTAAAAGATACTACAGAAACCCTTGCCTTATACATTTCCTGGAACATCACAGCTACAACAGTCTATCCCCTCTACTCATATTGGTTATAATGTTTATATCCTTCATGTAGCTCATTTTCTGTTAAGCAGCTATAAAAATCTGCTTAAAGATAATTAAGAAATCAAAGAATTTACTTCCACATATTTGCTTGTTTGCAGTTAAAAACACTTGTTTTCATTGCACAAGCTTTTATTGATCTTTACTCCTTTAGGATCACTGGCACAAGGAGAAAGAGAGAGACTTCTTACTGGCTCTGGTATCACTATGTTGCAATTAATACCCCACATTCTATGTTCAGTTCCACTATGTAAATTTTCATTAAAATATTTTTAAGTAAAATCTTTCAGTATTAATAGGAGCATCTATATCCTGCTTCTAAAGATGGCAGTAGAAATAAGCCACAGACCTTCACAAGAGGAGGAATTTAAACTTGTGAAACCACTAACATTGACTTAGTTGGGGTGGATCCAGATGGAGTGCAGTGGCCCTTTCTGATCAGTCCTCAAGAACAGCAGCTGGAGACATTGTTAAGTTCCCCCAGGCAGATGAGAATTCCACATCCTCTTCCCCTCCATGCTCAGATGAATGCCCCCTTCCTTTCCCCCTACCACTCTCTGTTGTTGCCACTGTCCCTGCTGACCCAGGAGTTGAGAGGAATGCCAGAACCCTTCTGCCCACTCCAGCCAGGCTGTGCAGGGGCCAGGCTCAGCCCAGGACAGCAGCAGCAGCTAACATTTTCCCTTCCCTGCCTAGTCCCCCAAGGTATTTCCCACCAGCACAGGGAGGAGGAACCTATCTGCCACCACTGCTATCCTAAGCCAAGCCCAGCCCCTGCACAGCCTGGCTGGAGCTGAGCAGAAGTGGCTCTGAAGCTCCTGTCACCCCACAGGACAGTGGGGAGAGTGGCAGCAGGCAAGTGGAGGAGGAAAGAAGATGAGGGGCATGGAACAGGCCTCTGACCAAGGCAGAGAAGGATTTTTACCTGCTTTGGAGAGAGAGAAAAAAAAAACCAACAGTCCCTGTCTGCTGTTCCTGTAGTACCCTGTCTACTCTGTCCACGGAACTGGGAAGAGGTTGGGAGTTGGGGGATGTAGCAACCCCTGTAGCACCAAACTCTGCCTTGACAAAATCCTAGATACACTTCTGCTTACAGTTAACTTGTGATCAATGAAGTTCCCAACCTGTAAAAGAAAAAACTAGAAGTTTTCATTCACTTTTCCCTGCATCCTTCCCACTAAGATTATTAATGGCATTTCAAAAATGAGATGACCTTTGGCTATATTTTTCTTCCTCCTCTGCCATCTCTGATTTCTTGTTATAGCTGATTTTGACATCTCAGCTAAACATTCCTTTTCTTTAGATTTTGCGAATTTCCTTAGGGTACAATATCCCTCTTTTTCCCTCACGTTCAAACTGTCATGCTTTTCTCGGAAGTGCGTATTGCCATGATAAAGATTTGTTTTTGCACCCACGGTACGTAAGATTCAGATCACAGAGCTCCATTGTAATGATGGTAGTATCTGTTCTTTCTAAAGTGTCTTGGAAGGGAATAGTATCCAGAAGGTGGCAGAAAGGGCTCCAGTGATAATACTTCCATTCCACTTTACCAGGACAGTAGGAGGCAGAGCTCTGAGGATGTGGCTACATTCACTAGGCAACTAATAGGAAGATGATGAATGTGTTTGTAATTTTAATTTCTCTCTTTTACTGTCCTAGGTGCTTTTATAGGCTTCTATAAAAACATAACGCAGAATCATGTTCTTGATTTGTTTTTCACTCTTTCATGTAGGGGCTGAAATGGAGTTGCTGCCAGAAACTCTTTCTATATGAAAATACCTAATATTTTTTGATATGTGAGTTTGTTCTTTCCTCCTTTCAGCTTTTGCCTCATGGATGAACTCCTGGATATATTTCTGTTTTCACACCTATTTTACATATTAAAAAGAAGGGTGCTGCAATGCCCAGCTCCTGTGAGAGGAGGTAAGCACTGACTATTCCACATGCTGAGCAACCTGTGCCTGTCCTAGTGTCCTGACACCATTGCTTGCAGCCCTTCCCACTAGCTCCAGGAGCATGAGAGGAACAGGAAAATGAGCTGAGCTGAAGAGCTCAGCCCCCACTCCTTCAGCAGCCTGAGCCAAACGCCTCCATGCTGTAAACTGTGTGTTCTGCCATGGCCCACAAGCAAATGTAATTGCACTTTTTAAAACCTGGCTCATTACCATGCTCCTGTCATGCTCCCAGAGTTGGCAGGGAATGGTGACCCCAGTCACTGGCATTCAAGTCCCTGGAGGAGCAGCTTCAGTGGTGGGGGATTGCAGTCACCCCCTCAGGTGCAGGCCAGAGGCAGAGGAGGGAGCAGACAGCAGAAAGACCAGGGCATGGCAGAATTCTGCTCCCTCTGCCCTCACCTGGTACCAGTCTGTCACCCCCTTCTGACTCCTGCAGGGACAGCTGCTTCCTGCAGGGGCCTAATAACCCACTCTAGTTCCTCAATCTGCCCTGCCTAACAGCTTCATGCACCACCCTCCACTATGGTCTCATGGGTACCCTGCCCAAGGCTACCCATGGGATTCTTATAAGAGTGCCATGGGGTGCAAGGAGGTAAGCACTGTAAGAAATAAATCAATCCTTAAATAGGATGCTGCTAAATTCCAAACAAGTTATGCAAGGGTGTCTTGATCTTTAAAAGTTACAGGGGTATGGGTTGTAGCTGTGTTGGTCTAAGGACATAGGCAGACAAGGTTCTTTGGGTGAATCTGATATCTTTTATTAGACCAACTTAAATAGTTGGAAAACAATTATTAAGCAAGGTTTCAGATTCAAAAACCCTTTGTCAGGCTAAGGAAGTTTCTGCAGTTGGTGTGTGCTCTTCCTGGATGGAATGAAAAGTAATCTACATTTTCACTGACTGTCTTGTATGCATACCAGAACAGCCTCTGGCTTCTTTACTTTTCATTCCATCCAGGAAGAGCACACACCAACTGCAGAAACTTCCTTAGCCTGACAAAGGGTTTTTTAACCCAAAAGCTTGATTAATAATTGTTTTCCAACTATTTAACTTGGTCTAATAAAAGATATCAAGTTCACCCAAAAAACCTTGTCTGCCTTCATCTTTAAAAGGCAGGCACGGTTCTCTGGGTAGATGACTAAAAAGTTGGAAAAAAGTTCTTGCAAGTTTTCAGGCACAAAGACCCTTCGTCAGGCATAGGGAAACTCTGTTGGTGTTATATGTTCTCCAAGATAGAAAAGAAGCAAATTTACAACAAGCATGTCTGTGAAAATGCAAATCCCTAGATCAGTGGTTGGCAACCTTATAAAGATCAAGGCATATAAAGCCTTGGGATATAAAGCTCCAGTAACTATATATATTTTAGTCAATTTTATTAATGACCAGGAAACAAAACTGAATGTATTTGCTACTGTTTTCCGTCCTTTATAATATTATTATTTCAGTATCATTGTTATTAAAGTAAATGGTTAGGCAGTTAACATGAACCTGACAGAAATGTTTTACTCCAAGTTTTGACTGCTACTGTGATGCATGCTAAGGGTGGCCAACCTGCAGCATGGGCACCACAAGGGGCACAGGCAGCCTCTGGGTTTAGCACATGGCATATTGGGGTGGGAAGAACAGGTAGAATAGCAGCAGATGTGGCAGGAAGCAGAAAGTAAAGCAGCAGATGTGGCAGGGAGCATAGGGATGGAAGCAGAAAGCAGAGCAGCAAATTGGGCAGGGAGCCCAGGGCTAGGAATAGAAAGTAGAGCAGCAGGTTGGACAGGAGAAGTGGATCAGAATGGCACTTAGGGAGAGAGGAGGGCTAATTTGTGGCACATCTGCCAAATGTTTGTCCCTCACCTGTGCATGCAATTTTAAGACTTTAACATTCTAAGTTTAATTTTCAAATACTCTAA